GTGCTACTTGTGTTACGGTGCCTCATAGTTGGATGGGGTCTTCAGTGGGACTTTGATTGTTTATCGTGCTACATGTCATCGTCTGAAGAAACTCGTCTATTGTCTACGCCTTGGCTCGGCCGCTACTGTGTTTCGGACAGTCGCTGCCCAGTAGTCTTCTTGAAAAGGAGAAACCTCCTTGGACGCTCAGCGACGTCAGTGAGTTATTGATAGGTAGAGACGTTTTCTGCGATCTTAACGTCATGGAACATGGCTCTCCACCGCTTAATCTTCCTTGTTCGGCCCGTAGCGTCAATTGGCTCCTCGTGTGTAAGTTTTTTTCGGTCAAATCTCTACTACATACGTATGATATGGGCGGCTTTGGGTCAGCACGGCAGCCGCCACTTCTCTGGCTGTGACTCCAGATGGCAATACCAGTTCCTCAGAGGAACTGTCCTTCATACAGCCGCGCCCTGTCAGCCGTCGCTACTCGTTCATCATCAGCACTGATTTCAGGAGCTCATGGCACGTTTCGAAAGCTCGTCGAGATGCCGCTTGTGGATTGGTGCCGGCTTGGTCCGGGCACATCCGGAAACTTGAGCTCTACAAACTTCGGATTGTGTGAGTCTCACACTGTGAGAACATCTCCTTCCGTTATGCTGTTAGTAGCACCTGTGTGAAAATTCTTCCCTGGGATTCGCAAACGTGCCCGACGCGAACCTGTTGAATGATGAACAACTGATCAATTACGCTTTCCCCCGGGAAAAGCAGTTGGTCGTCGAGTTTCCCTCATAACGTATTGCCGTCGCTCTAACTGATGACGCTGCTGGATGCAACCCTGATCGTTATGTGACGCATCAACGGAATACGGGTGTGATTCAGATTCCTTCTTGACAAGAATGGGTGACAGGAATAAAGGTTCTACCGGGATTTGAACCCAGATCGCCAGATTCAGAGTCTGGAGTGCTAACCGTTACACCATAGAACCTCATATCAAATTCAATTTTGTGCCGTCGTCAGTGGAGTGCTCGCCGCCTGAAAGCCTCCTAAGCTGCACAATATTACAGCATGCGCAGTATCCCAATCTCTCGCCACGCCACCTTCCCAACTTCGTCAATCCGTGGCTCTTTGAATTTCTCCATCGCGACAACAACCAGCACCAGAGGGAAAAGGACATTCCTAATCAACAGTCTACCAGTACCAATATCGACAGTTGCCAGGCAACTGTCCTCCTGGCAACCGGAAAGTGTGGTGGAAAAGGGAGTGCCTGCCCACATATGTGAGCAAGGGAGTTCAGACGAACAAGGACGACTGGAGCTTATCCTAAGTTGACTCGACGAGGCGTGCCTAAGTTGACTCCCAACTGAAGCTTATCCAAGGCGCAGAAACCAGGGCATAGCCTTGAGGGCAAAAATAAGTTCAAGGGTGCATGCACGCATGCTCCGCGCATGCGTGCGATTGCCGGCCCGGCACTGCGGGTTGTCCAACAGCTTGGCATCACCCTCAGATCATTCTATAACACTTTTACGACCATTGGCGGTCGATTAGAGCATATGAAAGTTTCGTAAACTCAGCTTATGCTCGTAGGTAACGTGCGGCAGGTTTCGCTTAGATATATTTGATTGCGAATACTATTCACGTGACATCAATTTGGGGGGGGGGCGATCACCCAAGACAGACCCACATGCTGGGCCCGCTATACTATAGCAGCTATAGTTTCAGTTATTTGGTAACTGCTATCGAACGACAACTATGAGCGCACCATCCAACGAAACATTGGAATGTCTGTACTGCTCATACAAACCCAGAAAAGACAATTTCTGTAAGTTCTCTGCTGTCCTTCCCCCTAACCGATGTCTATTTCCCTGTGGCCGATGCAGTCCTGTGTACTTTCAGTGGCGACAATTGTTGTGTATGCACATTGAAGTAATGTGAGGCCCTATCGAGCCACCCGAGGGTAGCGGTCGTGTCGCTGCTACTGAGCGTACCACGTCGATCTCTCCTCCTGACCAGACGAACCAACGCCACCACGACGAGACAGAGTTTCAACGCTGCTGTGGCCGATGGATTCCGCTATCCTTTGCAAAATGCATCTTCTCTCCGGAAGAGGTCCACAGCGCAGTTTCAATCTCGCTCGCCCAAAAAGAAATACACAAAGAAACTACTACCACGGAGTCAGAAGAAACTAGCGGATTAATATACAAGAGCTATGAATCAGTCTCATGATCATGTTAGCACTGCAATAGATCAAACAAGTTCTCCTGGACAACGTCCTTTACATCGGTATCTTCCTGTCTCCCCCAGGGGAGTCCCCCTTCATCTATGACGTGCTCGTGTACATCTTGATAATCACTGACAACAGGTGATCCCACAACTATAACATGCAAATGCGCCTAAAGAGATAAATCTACTTTCCATTATAGTCCGCCCTAAAGCAAGGGACTCTGACGACCGTGAAGTCGGTCAAGCCGTACCTTACCACAGCAATCGAGCAGCGGTTGCCACTCCTTGGCAAGGATTGGGTAAAAGGCTCTATTGAGAGGCTACTACTAGCAAGGGCTGTCCATTGACGTGTAAGATGATGAGAATTCGCGCACGCCATATTGATCGATAATCGCGGAGAGAGTCGATGTTACTCCATTGTATTGACTCAAACGCGGCACATATAGGCGAACCGATTCAAAAGCTACGAAGTCTGGTAAAGCCAATGATGATGAATAAATCAATGGTAACGACAACTACGAGAAGAGGAGTTAGAACCACGATGTGATGAAGGAGTGGTATGACATGCTTGGGCATCTATTCCATTGACACCTCCCGTCTGACAGCGTGACCAGCAGTAGAGAATACAGACGATATGATCTCCACCAAATCTTCCGGGATCTAAACAGCGGAGCGGAGCAGAAACCACATAAACGAGTGTGATAATCGCCTTACCACATCGACATCAAAATCATGCAAGTCTTGCTTGACCGATCCCAAATAACTCCTAGCGGCCGACGCCAAACTAGAGACCTGTGTGTCTTCTATATTCTCCACATCCTCATTCTTCAGGATCCGCTTTTCCTCAAAGTCAGGTCCCAAGACTTTAGGCCCGTACTCGTTCACCGCTATACGTAGTTTACGAACTAGACGGTTACGGTGTTCACGAAGTGTTCGCCGACCCTAACATGTGTCACCATAGCGTGTCACCAAGGGTGGTGGAAAACGCAACCTGTAAGTATTACCTTCTTGTAAATCCTAATACGTCTTGCTATCCTCCTAATGTTCCCCACAAACGCATCAGAAGCTATAACCGCCAAATACTGGGCCACCGGAGTGAACACGAAGTACACAAAGGGCAGGGATATGAGAGAAAAGAAGGGCACCATCTTGACCAATACGATAGAGAGTAAGAGATTGTATCTGCATCAACGCTAACCCAAAGAGCTCCTCAAAAACCTACATCGGTACGATAACTATAGCCACCAGATCTTATACGAGCACGACATCGAATGCCTTGTACTTCACGAACCTATTCGGTTGACACTACTTGACACCCTGTGCATACTTCATCACTTACTCGCAGCCA